GGCCTCCCTCTTGTGGCGAGTTCTGCAACTGTGTTCTGTTACTGCAGTTTCCCTTTTTGCTGTTGAAACTTGAGATGTTGGAATCTTCACCCCACCCTCCCCTCCCTGTCACTGATAGCTGGAGGGGAGGTGGTGGGGGATGTGACTTGACTCAGTGTCTCCCGGACTCTCTCTCCCTCCCTTCCTCTCCCAGCATGGTCACAGCTCCCACTGCATCCAGTTCATAGTAGGGGAAGGATACCTCTCGTCTCTACCCTGCCTTCCTGATCTGTTTCACTGGTTGCTGGGGATGAGGCTGAGCCAGTTCAGCACTTACTTACCAGTTTTCTTCTCTGGTCACCTCTGTCTATCGCCCAGCAGCTGCCTCAGGGTGGGGGTGGGGTTGTGGGGTGGATTGTCTGGGGCTCCGCATCTGCTGTCACCCACTAGGGCTTGTGCACTGGGGGCAATTCTCTCTGGGTTCATGTAGAGTAGCCCCAAGACAACACGGAGATTACCCCATGGTCTTAAGACACAGCTCTGCTGTTCCATGGAGACCACCCTGGAGCACTTCTTTGCCTTGGCTTTAGGCTAGCTGCTCATTTCCTCTACAGACTGCTGTGGCCGCACCGGCGAGTCAGCTTCCTCCCAACAAGTATCACAGTCTCTGAATCCAAGCTCCCAGTGGCAGGACCTTGCATTCTAGCCTGGCACTGGAGTTGGTGGTCGTTAAGTCCAGGTGCCAGGTGGCAGTCACCTCCTGTTGATGCTTCTCCAGAAGAACCTTCCTTGTTTTGGAAAAATGGTACTGAGTCCTTCCCCCTGGGAAGTACCAGGGTCCAAGTGGCAGCAGTAGTGTTCAACTGTGGGGAAAGCCTATGTCGTCAACTCTCAGTATCCCGCTAAGACACTCATCTGCCTAGTTACACACTCCCACCCATGAGCTCTCTTGCCCTTTCACACATTGACTCATAGAGACACTCACACTGTCTCCACTGCCATCTTCCCCTTCTCCAAAATTTTATTATAAGACTTCATGAAAGACCTTTTCTACAGTTTCCAACTTTTATTTTTCCTTATTGTAGATTTGTAGACAAGTAGAAAATCTTAGAAGATTCCTGTAATTTAAGGTTGACTCTTTTTGGAGGAAACAGCCCAAGTCAGTTCTGTCTTTGGTGAGCCCAGGGAAGAATAAAACTCATTTCAGAAGTAACTAAAAGTGACAGATTAGAAAAAAAGAAAAAGGTCCAGGGAAGGAAGGGAGACGAATAAATGCAGCTATGGGGTGGCTCAGAAAAGAACAAGTGATCCTATGACCTCATGGGCAGAATCTTAATCATCACTGATGAGAACTTGGTGTTGGCTCTGTGATTGCTGAAGAAACAATATGCATTCAATTGAGTCTCATTCTGTTTCCCTGAAGGGAGTGAAATGGCATGATCACAGCTTACCACAGCCTCAAACTCCTGGGTTCAAGTGATCCTCCTGCCTCAGCCTCTCATGTAGCTGGGACTACAGGTGCACGCCACTATGCCACGCTAATTTTTAAAAAACTTTTTGTGAAGGTGAGGTCTTACTGTTGCCTAGGCTGGTCTTGGATTCCTGGGCTCAAGCAATCCCACTGCCTCAGTCTCCCAAAGTGTTGAAATTATAGGTATGAGCCTCCGTGACAGGCCTCTCAATAGCATAATTCCAGATGAAGTACAAAAAAAAAAAAAAAAAAATAGGGGTTTAGGTGATTCTGTGTGCTTAAAACAAAGATAATTATTAAAAAATTGGGTCAAAATCAGGTCCTATTTCTTCCCATCCATTTTTCCCCTAACAGGTTTCCCACCACCTCAGAACTGTTCATTCATTGATTCATAAGGTAACTCAACAGCATTTCTTGGCACTTTCTATATACAAGATGTGATTGTGCTTTGTATTAAAGATGTTACATAATGATGTATGCTATGATTCCTTAACTTTAGGAGTTTACATTCAGACTGAGTAGAGGAAACTGTTATACATGAAACTTTGAGAACGGTGTGAGATACTTGAGGTACTCTGTGTGAGGTGACTGTCCTGCTGGGTAGTCTGCAGGGCCTGTCTCCCCTGGTCTGACAAGAGCAATTCAGGCTGTTTTTCTTACCCCCCAAACGGCCTCTCTTCCAAGGAAGAGGAAAGATACACAAAATAAAACCTTCCCTGGATCTCTCCTTAGCAGACATGAATATGATCTTGGGCCTTTTGGGGAAAAGGCAGAAGCTGTCTATACTCCATCCATCTCTCATCATTCTCCTAACTGGGGTTTGGGACACAAAATTTCTTTCTCACTCCAATCTCAGGAATTTTCTATAAATGCTTTGTTCTTTCTCTCTTAACTAAGTCCTTTCTCTTGACCTTAGACATGCTCACTTTAAACTTCCTTAAGCCCCTATCTTTCTAAGCTATTTTCTTGTCTCTTTCCTCCAGCTGTGGTTTGGATGTTTGCCCCCTGCAAACCTCATGTTGAGATTTGATCCCCATTGTTGGAGGTGGGATCTAGAAAGAGGTGTTTGGTTCATAGGGGTGGATTCCTCCCTTGAGGGTGAGTTCTTACTCTATTATTTCCTATAAAAGCTGGTTGTTAAAAGAATAAAGCCTGGCACTTCCCCTACCTTTGCTTTCTCCTCCTCTTGCTGTGGTATCTCTATACATTCAGGCTCCCCTTCATCTTCCCCTGTGAGTAGAAGTAGCCCAAGGACCTCATTAGATGCAGATGACAAATATTGAGCTTTCCAGGCATCAGAATGTTTAGGCAAATAAGTCTTTCTTTTTCATAAATTACTCAGCCTCAGGTAATTATAGCATCAAGAAACAGACTAAGAACCTCCCCTTCACACCTAAACTTCTCAGCAGTGGTCTTCTTTCTCTACTTTGTGCTCATGTGCCATCTGGCCTGATCTCCTCAAATTTGACATTGGTAACTATTCACTCCTTTTTGAAACACATTCTCTCTTCCCTTCTCTTTCTTTGCACCATAGTCTCTTGGTTTTCCTTCCATCTTTCTGATCTTTCCTTCTTTCCTTCCCTCCTTCCTCTCCCTTTCCCTCCCTCTCTCCCTTTCTCTTTCAACTAACCATCCTTCAGATGACCATTGATTATAGGAGTTCTTTAAGGCTCTTATATCCGGGCTTTCTCCTTTTAGCCATATTGTCACCCTAGGCAATCTCATCCATGCTAAAAAATTAACCCCCACTTACATCTAGATGATTCCTAAATTCAAAAATGGAGCCCACATCTCACAAGTGAAAATCAGACCCATGTATTCATTTTTCTTCTTCTTGTCTTCATTTGGGTATGATTGCTATTTTTGTGAGACTTTCACATCAATTTAGGAACAAATCAAAATCCAGGAGTCACTCTGAACATCTTCCACTCTCTATTAGAATCTTGTTAGATTTACCACCTAAATTATATAATCCATTCCCCTATGTCTCATAATGTCCACTCCTTTGTGCAAGGGGCCATCATTCTCTCCTAGACTACACTGTGAGTGCCTACTCCAACCTATTTCCTCATGCAGAGAAACCTTTGAAAAGCAGAACCCTTCCTACTGACACATCCCACTGATTTCAAAAAAAGGCCAGTGTCCTGTGTGTTATTGATATTAAGATTTCTATAGCCTCTTCACAAACCATGTTTCCTTTATTTCCTGTATTCTGGCCATAACTGATTGTTCCCTCCTGACACCAAACCTTTGCTCATGCTGCTTCCTCTTTTCAGAACATTTGCCCCTCAGCCTCTTACACTAGTTAACAATTGTCCTTCAGATCCCAGGTGACATGAAGTTTTGTGTCCTGCCCTCAGATTAGTGCAAATGCCCTAATTGTTTGCTCTTATAGCCCACTATAACCCTCATTATTTCATTTTCTGCACTTGTCATTACACATTCATTTGTGAGATATTTTTATTAAAGTCATCTGCCCACCCAGGGTGCTGAGCTCCTTGAAACTGTGTATGATTTTGATGTCTGCCATCCCCTTGAGGTATATGTGCATTAATATTAATTCTGAATTGAAATGGCTTTGCTCTCTCTCATGGTCCCCATGTTGCTCATATGGGAGCTTTAATGAAAGCACTGCACACCCTGGTGTTTGGTCAAGCCAGCATGGGTTATACATACATTCTTGGAAGACATTTCAGGTTAATGAGGTGAACACTGAATGAGGCCCACTGAATGGTAGGTTGGACTCCAATAGTCAGAGTGGCAGATGAAGGGCATCAAGACAGGATGACACATGAAGAAATGTTGGAGAAGCTAGAAGAGACACTGGACAATGTACATTCTCTAAGGTGTAAAGAATCTGCATGGATTCACAAACAAGATGTGAGGCAGAGATCAAGATGGAGAAAGGAGGTAGCTGAAAGAGTTGACTCTGTAAATATTGATATTACTGAGGTGGCTCCTTTCCAAAGAATACAAGTTGTCTGAAACAGTTGGACTCAGCTACCTCACCCTCATTAGTTGCAGACACATTCATTCCTTTTGGATTCACTCTTCAGTGTCCTTGCTTTTTTGTGTTTTTTACCCAGGCACTTTGCAAGTGTCAAGCATCAGAGTGGCCCTGAATCCCTCCTCACTTGATGTGAGAGTGCCTTAGCCCACACTCCTGGCCCAGGACTCTAGATCATATACACTATACTTTCCATTGTTTTGGGCTTGCTTTGTTGTCAGCTCACAGGGGTCATCTTCTGTGAGTTTGAGCACAGGTCTCTTGTTTTCCCTAGTTCTCCCATGGTTCTTCCTAGTTCTCTTTCCTGTGGTTTTGGCTTCCTCGTTTGCTTTAGTGAGAAATTGTCCTCCAGTCCCTGATGCTTTCACCAGGATAACAATGAAAAGAGTGGAGAATAAGTAGCAATCTCAATATACCTATGCTTTCAGGAGCTTGCAGTTAAATAACTAGCCATTCCCCCTGTAAAATCTTCAGGTGTGGTAGTCTTTAGTATGACATAGTCAAGGTCTCTGAGAAGACACTGGAAACAGAGTCAGTTGCACTTAAACGTCTAATCAGTCAAACAGGCATGAAAGGGGAATGTCCATGAAGGAAGACAAATGAGCAGCTAAGCATCAGAATCTAATGCATCTCTCAGTTTGCTCAGAGATGGGTGAATGTCTGCTCTTTAGCCCAGTCCTGCACATCTGCTCTGCCGAAGATCAGGTAGAAGACCAGGCCCAATATGTTAACACCAGCTGAAAGCAAGAAGACATTTCTCCAACCAAAGTCTGAATCCTGGAAGCAGAAAACTATAAGTTACTAATGGTCACTCAATTATTGTCCCTCTTGTTCAGAAAGACTTTGACTCTGTGTCCCACTGTTCCCTCCCCCCAACCTCCACTTCTGCCTGTGTGGACTTACTGGTTGCTCCTGGAATATTCAGGTACCTTTCTGCCATACGATCAGTACACTGGGCATTCCCTCTGTTGAAGTGCTCCTCTGCTCAGATAACCATTTGACTTACCCCCTCACTTGCTTTCAGTCCTTGCTCACTTTTTCAGTGAGTCCTTCCTTGATGACCCAATTAAAACTTAAATTCCATCTACTTTTGTGTGCCCGTTTCTCCTCTTTTCTTGGCATTTACTGCCATTCGATATATCATGTATTTTATTTATTTTATTAGCTTTTTTTCAGTTTCTTTCCAACAATACAGGTTTCACAAAGGAGGGGCTTTTCCTTATTTTACTCACTGAAAGAATGCCTAGTACATGCAATGTTCAATACTTATTCGTTGAATGAATCAACAAATTACAGGAGAAACAAAGTCAGTTTGAAAATTTCCATTTTAAACAATCATTTTCTGACATGTGTTGGTTTGTTTAGAAGGTAACTAAAGTTTTAAAAAAGAGAAGGGACTTGATTTCAGAAAGAATACATTTACTTTGTTATTCTCCATTCATTTTTCCTGACTTGTTGGTGAAAAAGCACGGCAAAGTTAAAGAACGATGTTCACGTAAATGTCATGTACATCTTTCTTCATGTAAAGTCTGTATCAATAAGATTCTTAAGAAATGCTCAAGTTATCTGGTGAATTTGTTCACTTTGACTACTTTAAATGCATCTTCTATGATGGAAAACTATACAAATGTAAAAACATAATGTATGTGTAAGTTTCCTTTGTGAATATTCATCAGAATATTTGACCTCACCTGACTGAGGAAAAATCCAGCAACAGTGGGAGAGATGGCTCCAGCTATATGTGCAAAAACTTGCATTAGTCCTTTTAGAAAGCCAGTGTACCTGAGAGAGAGAGAGAGAGAGAGAAACATATCCATGCAAACAAACAGTTAATCTCAATCGGTCAGTTAAAACTCTGTGCTTATCTATGGGTTGCCTGGAATTGTGTGACCCTTGGTTAAATTTGAATAAAGTATATTGATTAATAATTAGCATAATCATATGCAAGGGTTTGATACTTCTAAGGAATAATCTGTACTAACTTGTCAACATTGTGTCTACAAAAAAAAATACACATTGATGGTTTGCACCTGGTTTATAGAGCTGTTTTTTGGTTTTGTTTGTTTCTGCTATTGAGTCTGATCTTGTAGCTTTGTTTTGGGGTACATAAGTCCCCTGTTTGAATATAAAAGATCTCTTTGGATGAGACCTTGGTGGTTCATTATCTAAAGATGATGTCCTGTTGACTGGGACAGGACTCTGGGAACTACCTTTGAAAGTCCCAGTTGACTCTGGTATTTACCTATGTCAAAAATAAATAATTTTCCTGCAATGCTGTGTCTTTTATCTTTATTAAAGCCTTATATGAGCAAACACAGTGGAGTCTTATGAGTCTTTTCAGTGATCCAACCCTGTGTAACTGTTGAATTCCTCAACAGAGACAGACTTGTGTGAGTCTCACTCAGTTGATCTATGAGCATGGCTACTGACTCCCCTTGTTCGCACGGAGAAAAGTCAAATTCATAATGATTGACCAGCTTTGGATCCCTTCTAGGAATTATTTGAATGAAGGACTGGTGCTAACATTTACAGTGATCTATTGCACATATCACATTTTGTCTGTGCAGTGGGACAGGCTTAGGGCTGCAGAACCTAAACTGAGTTGCTGTGTAGATGAAGCGAAGGAGTCTTACCGAGGAGCAATATCGAAGAAGTTAACAAGGGATCCTGCTTCACAGAAGCTACTGATGGCAGAAGACAATACCAAGAAGGTCATGGTCATGCTGTGGCTGTATCTGACCCAAGGCAGTGACACAAGGATCCCAGATGGGAAGAGAACCCCTCGAATAGAATGAAAAACAGAACAAAACAACATAAATAGAAGGCAGCCCTAAGCTTTCCACATTAATCCCTGTGTCCAGCTTGGCCCTTACCAATGGCAGTGAAGAGTTTCCTGATGGTGTTGAGTCTGAGGATTTTTCTGGAGAGCAGAAAGTCTGCCAATAGACCTCCAAGGATAATGCAGATACAGCCAGCAACAAACGGCAGGGCTGACAGGATCCCACTCTGAGGACCAGAGACGAGGTGAGGTGCATGTATTCTCATCACCCCACCATGACACAGACTGAAACTTGGACAGATTGTTCACAACTGTGGATTTTGCTTATATACACATCACTTTTAATATAAGCTCCATGCTAATGGAATAAGCCAATATAATTTTAGTGCCTAAGGAAAATATGTATATAGCTCAATTGAAAAAAAGAATTAATGCTCTCTTTGTATATAAAATCATCTGGAAAGAGATAATAAGAAGACCAAAATCCAGTAGAAAAATAGGCAAAATATATGAAAAATTTATAGATAAAAAGAAAAATAAACGATGTCTAAACATGTTAAAAGGTACCCAAACTCACTCATCAGGAAATAAATACAAAATAAAACTACAGTGAGACAGTATTTTTCAGGAATCAAAATTGCAAAAACCTCACATTTTTTTTTGACATGCTCAGTGCTGACACTGTGGAGAATCAAGTATTCACAAATATTATTCGTGCTCTATGGAGGGCAATTTGAGAATACTCATAAATTTATAGTGCATTTACCCTTGACTCAGCAATCAAATATGCAGAAATTTACTCCATGGAAATAGTTGCACAAATGTATGACAAATGAACAAGGTCTGTATTGCAGCATTGCATAAGGATTGGAAACAACTCAAATATTGTTCGGTAAGGTTTTCATGTACTGATATGAAAATCTCTCCATGCCACATTAAGTGGCAACAACCTTATATATAAAACATAGCAGAATATATAGAAGATAATGTTTTGTTTAAAAATAAGATGAGAAAATGAGAATATTCATTTATGTTTGCTTGCATTCTCATAAATAAACAATGGAAGAATTTGTAAGAAATTTAAAGAGCTATCTATGGAGTGGGCTAGAGAACAGGACAGATTAAGAACAGAAATGAGAGAAAGATTTTTTACTCCTCCTTTTTATATAGTTTTTAAAATGTTGAACTTTGTTATTATCAAGTAAATTTCTAAAATATTATTAAAAAATTCAATGAATAGGTAACCATACTTATTGTATATACTCCAAACAATGAAAAGAATTTAACTGTCACCTGGTTCAAGTGGTTCATTTTCTAGATAGATAAACCAAGGCCATCAAGGTTATGTGACTTAATGAGAAAATACACTGAGAACAATGAGAGTCCAGATCTTTTAATTTCCTAGCCTGGGAAGATCTGCTATTGGGTGACAATTTATCTTTTCATTTATTCCTTCCTCCTTAGCCTTGGCCTGTGAGGGCAGGAAACCCATGCAGCCTTATACTATAGACAAATAGTTCCCAATGACCAGCTGCAGGATGTCTACAATTCAGGACAGGCTTCCTCCTGTCTGGTCTCCTGATTCCACGGCTTGAGGTTCTGATTTCATTGCCTGCTTCTTCCCTCTTCCTCTTTGAGAAGATGCAGAGCCCCTCCTTCCTGGGGTTTCCTGATCCCAGGACCTCCAGCCTGTCCACAGGCACACTCTCCAGACTCTGACCACTGCTAAGAGGGTCAGCTCTTAGTTGACCACTTAGCTCTGGCAAGAGGGGCCAAGTCATGATGACATGGCTGCTTTTTGAGTACAAAGAGTGAGAGGATAATGATAAATCAGTGACATTTTGAACAGTCACTAACAGGTTATGACTTCTGATATACGCTAAGCCTCGTTTAAGACACCTATCTAGCAGGAATTGAAAGGTTCTTGTAAGACAATCAGAGCATCTGTGCATTTTGTGATAATTCAGAGAGCTGCAAATGTGTGCACTTTTCTCAATATATTATCCACACATTTTTATTTAAGTCTTATTTGGGTCTTTTATGTTCTCTTAATAATGTCTTATTTTCAGTACATTCTGTTTATGTTTAACTGTCACAATTTTCTCAAAGAATAATTTGTCATGTTAAACCTTTATTGTGTATGCAACCAGGAGAGCGTCTTATTTGCAAATATTGATTGGATTGAGTATACAATTTTCACATAGCTCTTAAAAATATAATATTCTGTGAATATCAAGCTAATCTAGAAACATACCACCCTGCTCTAATAAGTAATAAACCACATTGAGATCAATCAGAATTCAAGTTAACTAGACTGAATTTCTTACATGGAGGTCCTGGCTTAATCCCCTGATTTTGTGACCGTGGGAGAGATAAAGGATTCCATAATAAAGCATTTAAACAGAAGATCGAAATAAGCTTTCCTTGTACTTACATCTCTGAGGTTGGCTTGAAGAACAGAGTTGATGTATGTTGGTGTGTAAGCCAAGATGGTATAAAAAAGCCAGTATTCACAGAAATAAGAGACTGCAATGGCCCAAAGTGGTAAGGATTTGGTCATAGCCTTAAAGGGAAGAGACCAGCTTGGCGAGCAATCCTAGAAGAAAGTACGCATCAATATCCCCTCCATTAGAAGACAAGAACCCTCTCTACTATACTCTTCACCTCTGAGATATCTAGGTAGATTAGGAAAATGGTACGGGATTCCCTCTATGTACCTTTTGAACTAGTGAACACATGATGTATCTCTTCTCACCGGCACTGATAAAAGGATGATTTGCGGGGTCATCATAAGTGAGAGGAAACCAGAGAAGACAACAAGCACAGCCAATTCCACCTAGGGAAAGAGAATCCAGTTAGCACTGGATTGAAGTGCTTCTTTCAGTTTGATTCTGCTTGAGATGATTCCTGTGGTTGACAAAATGGCTGGCCTTAATACTCTACTCCCGCATATTAGCACCCTATCAGTGGTAGAGAATACTTCCCACCTCTTGCCATTGACTTTGGCCATGTAACTTGCTTTTTCCAATGTATGGGGCAAATTCAAGCGTAGGCATTAAGGAGTCTTACATATACTTTTTAAAAATTCTCCTTTTGTGTCTTAGTCACTGTCAGAAGAACATGTTCCAGCTTAATCCACTGTCCAAGGTAGATGACAGACAGAGCAGAGCCACCTAAATGTATCACAGAACTGTGAGAATAAGTGGCTGTCATTGTAAGCCAGTGAGTTTTGGGAAGTTTTGCAATGCACTATTATTTGAAGATATGACACATTGTTACAAGTTATTAGAGGGTTTGCCCCATATGCTTGAAAACATCTTGAATGTTCACATACCAGGCAGTAACATACTTTGCAAAGTTTCTTTCATTACTAAACCATTCCATATTTATCTCTTGTCTTTCTCAAAGCACTTAACATTTAGCATCAGTACATTATTATGTGTGATTGATTGATTACCCAGATATTTTTTAGACATGAATGGAAATAAACCCTCAGCAAAAAATGTTCTCTAATATATACACACTTGAGAAGCACAACATTATCAGTATTAAGTGGAAGTATGGCTTATCTTAAAATTCCATTTTTAAAATTTAAAAAAAGTTTTAAGAGTTATCTTTATTTTCAACATTTTAGAAAAGAAATTGTTCTGAGTTTCTTTGGGTTCAATTTAAAAACAAACAAAAAGTTATGATGTTCTTAATGTCATAAGGTTACACTCTTGGGTTATGGAAACGTAAATGTCATTTTTACACGCCAGCAAGATTCACAATATGATTAACTTTGCATATAATCAACTTTAACAATATAAATATCCATTTTAATTAGGATTTGGTTAGCCATAGATAAGTTTCATTACAGAAATCATATCCAGTATTGTCTGTCATAAAATAAAATTCTTCAATTTGAAAAGCCAAACTCACCAAAGATATAGAAGACATAAGGCCATCCCATGGTCTGGCAGAGAAGACCACCGACCAGGAGAACAGTGAAGGACCCCAGCAATGACCCTGAACAGAAGATGTAAGGATGTTCTGGTTAAGAAGGACAGTCTTGGAACTCTGTATATCCTACAAAGCTGAGCTGTGTAGTAATTGAAGGTATGAGCTTCAAGTCAGATGACCTAGGTTCAAATTCTCTGTCTTCAATCAGTAGTTATGTAATCTCGGAAAAGTCTATTTTTGGATATGATGTTTTATGTGTGAAATGGAAATAATTACAGCTGACTTTCAGATTGTTCTGAGGCTAAAATGAAATTAGTATGTGTAAAACACAAGAATGGTTGGTGTAGTAATCATTCAGTTATGATCAAGAAAGGCAATATAGGGTAGAGATGTAGAGTAAGGACTATGAAGACAGAGTAATTGGGATGTAAGGTCTTGATTCTGTTGATAGTCCTTTGCTGAGCACTTTTGGATAGGGCATATAAGATGAGCGCAGGGTATCAGTTACCTGATATAGCAATGGTGGTGAGTTGACTCCTTTCCAGCGGGGGAGCCCATTTGACCCAAATGGAATATTGACCTGTTAATACCATAACCTGGGGGGAGGGATTTCATTCTTGGATATCTGAGGTCTTTCTGGAACTTATGTTTCACTTATGCTTGGAAAACATCTTGGTACCTGGGCTATGCCTTGGACAATCCGAAGGACAATGAGCAAGGCCACTCCAGCATTGGTTGCCAGTGGAATGAAGAGGGTCAGGACTGAGGAAATCACCAAGCCAGCACCAACCACGTACTTAGCTCCAAATATGCCAGCCACATAGCCACTGGGGATTGGAGCCAGGAATGAACCATAATTGAGGGAGCTGAGGATGATTCCCTGGATTTCAGGACTCCAGCTGTATGTGGGGGCCTAGATAACAAGGAGACTGTTACTGTTTGTCTTTGGTTAAAGAGTTAACAATTTTAATTGTGAAGACTTGAGAGGCAAAGAATAATTTGTAGTTTTTTATTTTTACCTTTTCCCAAATCCTCCAATATACCAATTTACTTTTTACAAACTCTGAATATATGCTAAGCACATTCTTTTCCCTCACCCTGACACAATGAACTGACCCATTAAAATATAAAAAAGTCTGCAAAGAAAAGAAATCCTGTAAAGAAGAAAGCATCATAGGCAAGGTAATAAAAGAAATGTGGAAGAAAGGAAGATAAAGCAAACGTTCATTTGTGCAATGTATTTAGTGGTGATTTTCATCATTGTACGGGAAGAATTTATGTTTTCTAAATTGTGAAGCCTGTTTCCTTCAATGTAACTTGGTCCCTGGTTATACTCATAGACACTAAGTAGGAAGATATTTGCCTAAGATAGTTATTGTGTTCCTGTGCTGTTCTTGGCACATGCTACATGCTCAATAAATGAAATGAAAAAGATGGATTTTATAATAAGATTATTTTATAATATGAATGAAACTTCATCCTATTATAAAAGAAAATTAAACTCACTCCTTTATAAGATACCCTTTTAAGTCAATTCATGTGAATCAAAGAAAGATTCTAAAGTCTCATAAAACTTACCAGTGCCTTAAATTCCTTTAGAGTTTCATTCTGGGAGTCTTGGGTGCCAGTCAAGGGCCATTCTGTGGAGGCATTGGGCTGGCTGTGTGGGGTTGTGTTGTTTACCATAGCTGGAATGGCAATACTCAAGTTCATTTGTTGGGTGCAAATTGAAAAATTACAGAGCTGCAAGATGAGGGCCAGCCCATGCCGTACTGAACAAAAACCTGACAGGAGAAAAGGACACAAAAAGTCATAAACAGGATGATTTTTCTCTTACTCTTCCTATGTCTGGAAGAAAGAAGATTGGTGTCTCTCTGTGATGCAGAGATATAGGAAGAATAGACATTGCTCTGTAGGTGTGTGATGGACATATGTCTCCCTGGGAGGGAATGGGGGAAGTAGCTCTCTCAGAAGCTTTGCTCAAGCATTGATCACAACAAATATTAGGGAGTACCTCTTCAGGCGGGGCTCTGGGATGAGCTGCTGAGAGTGAAAATGGAAAGAAATGGATTTGGAGAAATAACTGCTTGGGAGCAGTTACTGATTAAATATGGATCATGAGAGAAAAAATAGTTGAAAATGGCTTCTAGGTGCCCTGCTAGGGCAGCTGGGATAATGCGAAGTGCCTTTTGTAACCAAGGAACGTGTAAGGTTAACTTTTTTTGGGTCTGGGGAGAGAGGAAACTTGAAAAGTAGGCAAGGGTTACATCACAGAAACATTTAAACATCATCTTATTATTGTAATCTATGGCTACACATTTGGCAGTGTTCCATATAAGTTCTGGGGCGGTCCCTATGGTTTAGTCCAAACAAATTAGTTTTACAACTGTGGAATGGATTCATTGACTATTCTTTTAGAGAAATTGCTGCGACAATATGTGATCACTGCCTCAAGGTATGTAGGTTCACTAGTTCCTGGTTCCTGAAAGGGAACAAATGCTCTTGGAGTGAACAGCAGTTTCCAATTGTGCAGTGCTTGCTAAATTCCAGGAATTGACAGACCTCGTCTTTGGTTTAACTGAGAGATTTTAGTCAAACCCACCCTATACCATGCACCATCCACAAAAAGCTACATTGGAATTTTGATCAATGCCTGCAGATACATCTGATTAAATTAAGAAGGATTACCACATTTATAGTACTGTCATCCCTAGCCAAGAAGGGATGTACAAGTAAGCAAATCTTTTACTCTGTCCCAAGGTGGAATTTTATAATTATCCTCAGTTAAGGCCAACACAAGTTTTTAAAAATACTTTTCAAAGTTTCTCTAACAGAATTTTTCCCCATCATTTCTTTTAGTCTTCCCTCCATCCCTTGGATTTTGACTAAATAAGTAAATAATGACACATTATGTACAACTAATAGAAAAAAAAAACTTGATTATATTTTACCATTTGCAACACTTGTTTCATTCTGTTGGGCAATTTTATTAAAAGGCATTTTCAACACAAAGTTAAATAAGAATGGTGAGAGTGGGCAGTCTTGCTGTTTCTGAATTTATTGAGCATGCTTCTCACATTATACCATTAGGTATGCTGCTGGTCGCTGGTGGGACACGTACTTTAACTGTATTAAACTACCCTGTCCTTACCTTTACATATTTTTATGTGAATACATGAGTTTTATTAAATGTATTTTAATTGGAATCATAGGATTTGTTTCCAATCCTAGTTACTCTGTTAAAAACTGTGTGTTCTAGGTCAAGTTACTGAGCTCTACATGACCCTCACATTTCACCTGAAAATGGGATTAATAGTGCTTACCTCAAAGCACTGATAACAATTGAATAAGTTCATGAAAAGTCATATAATTACTATTACTAAAACCAACTAACCTTGCACTGTTGGGATGATTTTTTATTATTCTTAATAGGCTATTTTTAATGGAAAAACATGATTTATTTTCTAATATTTTTAGCTAGAATTTTATTTAGCATGCATAATTAAACTTAATTTTCAGTTTGTGCATGCAGGTGTTATTTTTGCTGTACTAGTTTGTTAAAAAACAAGAATTATAAACTCTCTATCTCAATCAGTGATCTGAAGTATTAAAGGTACATAGCCATTTCTTAATAAACTTTTAATTCTGGAACAGTTTTAGATTTATTGAATGATTATGTTTCTATATAATGAACACAAAGCTTCCTCTATTATTAATATTATTAAGATATTAATATAATATAATATAATAGTAACATAGTTAATATTAACATCTTATGGTGCATCTGTAGCAATTATAATCCTACATTGATATATTACTATTATTAAATAAAATCCATACTTTCTTCAGATTTTTTAGTTTTTACTTGATGCAGTTTTTCTGTTCTAGAGTCTCATTTAGATGCCACATTACTCTTAGTTGTCATGTCTCCTTGGCTTCTTCTTGGCTATGACACTTTCTCAGATGTTCCGTGTTTTTAATAACCTTAACTATTTTGAAGTATAAAAGTCAAGTATTTGGGACACGTTCTTTAACTGGGATTTGCCTGATATTTTTCTTATGATTAGACTGGGATTATGTGTTTTTGAGAGGCAAACCAGAGAGGTAAAGTGACTTTCTCCTCACATTATATCAATTATTATTATTGAGAACTTGGAGCTATAAAGTTATAATTTATAATTTACTATCAAAATGGCGTCTCACTTTTCATGTTGACTTTAATATTCTGGCTTGAGGCAGTGCTTGTCAGGTTTCTCCACCGTGAAATTACTCTTTCCTTTCTTCTTTTCCTTAGAGTTTTTCATATGATTTCATACATACAAATGTACTCTGGAAGAAGGCACACACACCAGTCCATACCTATGCTCCATTTTCTTAAGGGGGGGGTGACCATATAAACTATTTGGAATCTTTTGCACAGGATGAATATACATTTTCTACTTCTTAAAAAACTCACATAATTTTTCTAGTAAAACCATCAGGACATAATTTGTTTCTTTGTTATAAAAGGGATAACTTTTTGACAATTTTCTCCATTTCTTGCATGTTTTTAGCATGTATACTTTTTCTTATTTTTCTTTATTCAAATTTATAAGATAAAGTTATAATTTATAATTACTAGAAATTATAATTTATATAAAATTATAACATAATAAAAGTATAACTTATTTATTATGATATAATCTTAATTTTCTTCCCTTCATCACATCTATCATCTTCTAGTTCATTATCCTTCTTTCTTTCTTGCAATTTTCATGATTATTTCAAGTCGTGGCTCCATGTCACTGCTTTGATTTTCTGTAGTGATGATTTTTCTCCTTGTTGCTGTTAACTCAATTTTAATTCTGCAGTCAACTTTTTTTCTCTTGAATTTCCTTTCTCATCAATATTGGGGTCTTCTTTCCTATTTTTCTGTTGATCTAATTCCTATACTCTGTTTTATTATTATTATTATTATTATTATTATTGAGAACTTGAAGAAATTGAGGATAAAAATATAATTCAATTTATCTGAAATAAAACCAGCACAGCAGTGTGATATAATGGCCAACAACCCCAATGGTCTGAATCCAATCACTCCCTCTTTGTGCCTGAATGACTAAAGGAGTTACTTCATCTCTTGTTGCCTGAGTTCTGGCTGCTAAAATGAGGATGCTAGTTGTACCTTCTTTGAAGATTTGTTGTGAGGAGTCAATGAATTAATATGGTGCCTGCAATAACACTGCAGAATTTGAGAGAGACCTCAAAATTTCCAAGCTAATTTCTGCAGTCACTCATAGTTTCCTATGTTCTGTTGCAATGACCTCCCTGATGCTAAGCTGAAGATATTTAGAAAAGCTGGTTAGCCATGAGAGGAAAACACTGGCACGTGAGCCCAAGTACGCTTGACCTAGCACATTCCTGTGCTGCATGCCCTTAAGGGGCTCACCATGACTATGCTCTGCCCAGCTACTAGACGCTGCTCCTCCAAGCTGGAGAGCATGAGCTGAGGCTACACAGCACCCTCTTTGTTCTTCCTGCATCACTGCTTCATGCTTCAAGGATGGGAGTTTTGTCAGTTCTTGGCATTCTCTCTCAATCTCTTTAAAATTGTATTAAGTCTGTCAATGAGCCATGGGGTTCATAGCTGGTGACAGGAATAATTCTCTAGTTTCAATCTAAGTAGAGATACTTTCTCAAAATGTTCTTCTTGTTTTAGTGATTTCCATGGCCTTCGGAAAGGTGTACTATTATCAACTGGCCTTCAGGTAGTATTCTTCCCCATAGGTGGGGTATATCCTCCTCTCTGTGTGCGTATGATAGAGAGAAAGGAAGCTGTCCCTGGTTTCGTTTATTAACTCTCAGTTCCATTCTCATAGTCCCACGCTGTATGATCTCTACAATAACAGTGAAGCAAATTCCTGGAAATTACAGTTGTCAGACCATCAGAGCAGGATTCCATTCAGAGTCTGCCAATGAGGGCATTCTGACATGATTTAGAAGGCTAAACTGAATGAGAAACCACTGTGCTCCAGAGATAGCTGCAGATGGGATCAGTTATACTAGGTATGGGATTTCTGTCTGTGACTTTGGGGTGTCCTCCTGAAAATTGTCTTCTTTGTGATGCACATACCAGCTGGGATCACTGGCCATGTCTCATCCTGTACTCCTGAATTTCCTGAAAGTGACTAACCTGACTTTTGCTTCTCCAGCCTTCCAAAGTTGTGAAATCTTCCAGTCCCCTGTATTAAACTTACTTCTCAGAAATACCTAGACTGGTTTCTGTTTTTCTGATTTAACCAATAATAATATAGAAACTCATGGGCCTCTAGGGGAAAGGGGGATCAGAAAATTAAAGTGGTGTCTGTCTCCATCCCAGCCTCATGAATCTTTAGTTGAGCCTGAAAGAAGTCCACTGACTGGCAGAACTTGAAGGCTGAACTTTTTTCAATCAAGTTCTCTGGGGATCTAGGAGCAAAAGCAGTTTCATTGTGTGACCAGGTGACAAGATATATAACAGGGGAGAGGGCGTTTCTCCACATCCCGTGGAACACCTGCATTTGGTTTCCTGAGTGTCTTGGAGGCACAGTGGTGCCCAGCAAAGACAGCAGTAGATTTTGGGGCACTAGTACTCAGAGAAAGCCTCAGCAGTGCCCTGGGGGTTTGATACAGAAGACCTGGCCATGTCCAGTGAGCACGAGCAAGAGAGATGAGAGAAAAATTAAATGTTGGATGCCAACTGATGAAACAATCAGCAGGGATGATTTCTAAGCAACTATGAGAAATACTTGGAGACACAACAAAAAAAAATTGGTGAGACTTTGAGGAGTAGCTGGGGTTCTGCCTTATCAGGTGGGATGAGACTTTGTCATAAAAGGATGAATGTTATTAGTGTGATGCCATTTGCAGCAAAGGTTGAGGTAAAGTGGGTTAGAAAGGTATTATCTGAATGTCTTATAGTTCCTGGTGTGGTCATTAGAGGCCCAAGCAGCATGTTGAGGCAGATATTTTACAAAATTGTGGAATAAATCAAAGATTGTATGAGGCCCACTTTAGGAAAATTATAAACATTCCAATGACTGCCAAAAAGTGGGCCGAGGAGGAAACACTATGTGAGTAGTAATAATAATAGTTAATTTTATATAGTATTTACTACACATGAGGTGTTGTTCTAAATATTTATTTTTTAACTAATTTAATCCTTTTGGCAATCCTATGAGGTGGCTACAGATGGGGAAACTGAGATATAAAAATTATAGATAAACTTGCCTAAGATCATACAGCCTATAAATGACAGAAACTGGATTGCAAACTCAGGCAGCCTGACTTTTCACTTGTACTCTTACCCAGTTTGCCAGTGGTAAAATTTTATTCATAAGCTTTTTATATGACTAATTTTGAAAGAGAAAGGTTAGGATAATATGGCTAGTGTATAGTCCAGTAGATTCTGAAATACTTAGAGATGTATGAGACCTTCAGCTAAGACTGGAATAGTATTCACTTTAGGTCAAATGGTTGTTAACTGTACGATGAGTATTGCCATACAAATCTCCTGATTTCTCCTCTGATGGATGAGATTAGGAAAATCTTCCTTTTATGAAGATATGCATACTTCCTAACAGGCAAACTGGCTAAATGTTGAGTAATACAAGGCATGCCATCTTGGTGAGTGCTTCGCTTTTTAAAAGCATTATACTCTGAAAAGCCTGCATCCTTAAGAGAATTGATGTATAACATATTATAGGTCATTAAGGGTTTAAGGTAAAATAAGTTGCTCCACAGTTTTCTTTAAGACCAATTATAGAAAAGCGCAAAGTGGTAATGTAGATGAGAAGAGGAAAATATGACTTCTATGACATGGTGAAAAGAAAAAGCTTGATCTTTTTGAGGCAGGTCTGGGTTTAACATGAACAGAGACATCTAATGAGAAACAGCTTGGACTTAGAATCAGCAGAGCAACGGTTGGTTTCTATGTTTCCCACTTAGACTCTGCTCTGAAATTTTTTCTTAGTCCCTAAATAACGCCATAATACCTGCCTGTCCTGTAGTATATACCTTCAAGGCTTCATGTGAGGAATGAAATACACACTGGTAAAAATGCCTTATTCCTATACAGTATTCTTGGCAACTGGTGATAGTAATAAGAATGATGTATATCAACAAAAGAAAAGTTAAGGTGCCATAGATTCTAGTTTTATCGACAGCTGGATTCCTGTGCATACTTTTACCTTTCCTGGAGGATTGTTCTTGAGCCATGTTTAAGTTGCCATCATAGGAAATATCTTCCACTGTATCCCTGATATCTGCCTTTGTAGACATTTTGATTCTTGCCTCCCAGGAACTGGCTTTTACCTACTGAAATAAAATAATGCAAAATCAAATGCAGAAATAATCTTATATGACACTGTCCCTGTTCTTTTTTCTAAGAATTGGGGGGGCAATATTGTCTGGTGGGAAAAACCTTAGAGTTCATGAAAACTAATTTGTCATTCTGGCACTATCACAGACCAATTGTCTAACCTTAGAAATGTCACAGATACCCTAGGTATTAGTATCTTCCTCCCTAAAATGAGAAACTTTTCCTGGAGTGCCTTGATACATTGTAAGATTCTTTCTAGTTCTCTGTTCCCATGTCTCTAAATTGATACTATTAACTGAACATTAAAAATTGATAGCCTTATTTAAAATTTCATCTGAAATATTCTAGCAGAGTAAATTACTTCAAAAACTGTCTATTATAAATACTTAGAATATTAGATAAAATATAGTAAATGTTCTTTTAAAGTCATAGTTCTGAAGATACTAAGAGATATCTCCATGGATATAATGAAAAGTTACAAATATAAGCTAACTCTTTAGTGACTATGCAATTGGGGTATGGAAGAGGCATCAATTTCAGTGATGTGGGGGCTTGCCATCTATGGCCCTATTGGGGTTAGGGGTAAATCCTTGGGTCCATGCCAGGAAGGTAATTATAAGGCAGTGTCTAATATAGAGTCAGAAGCTTTAAAAAGGTTCTAAACTTACAGAAGTTCTATCCATTGCAACAGTAAAACTCTAATTTCTCTCTACATTGTTCTAAGTTCTGGTTTGAGAATAAAAACCTTTCCCTAAAAATGTATAACTATGTTATGAAGCATTGAAGGTAGCAGTTCACTCTGTCTTCATTTTCTGAGAGCTTACCTCCAGCTGAAAACCTGATTGAAGAATCAGGCCCAAGTTGATTTGTTCAACACAGATCACATACAATTACTGTAGATGAAGCTCTACTTAATGTGAGCTCAAAGTCCAAAATTATAAACACTTAAAAAAGCTCTTCATCCAAAGAGTTCTCAGACTTAACACATAACAAGAATAGTCTGCTGGAAACTCCCAAAGATAGAATACCAAAGATAGAATAAAGCAATAAAGATATTGTACATTATGCTTACAATAATTGAAGAAATACAATATAGACTCTATAGCATAAGAAGATACCAATAAGAAAAAGCAGATTTGAGAGACTACTTGAAGTACAAAAGAAAAGTTTAGGCATTGAAATGTGAAACTAAGTGGCTATATATAACTAATGAAAGCGAAATAGAAGAGCTATATAAATCGTATAATATAAAGCTCAGTAAGATAATGGAGGATGATAGCAAGTTAAGAACCTGGAAAATGGAGTGAAGGGGTCCAACATATGTTGAACAGGACTTCTAAGGGGGGAGACAATAGAGAATTGAAGAAAGGCAATACTTTAAGAAATAATAAATAGGAATTTTCTAGAATAGATGAAACAAGATTTCTCAGATTCAAGAATCACAATGAATATTGAGCCAGGGAAATTAAATTCATTCTACACCTAGACACACCATAAGTATACTGCAAGATGCAAAAAGCACAAAAATTACTTATAGATACATTAAAAAATCACTTATTGAAGGGGAGAAACTAATTACAGTGTAAACAAAACTACTGGTGGGAGTGTGAGCTAGTTCAACCTCTATGAAAAGCAGTGTGGTGATTCCCAAAAGAACTAAAAATTGACCTTCCATGCAATCTAGTAATCCCTCTTCTGGGAATATACCCAAAGGTATATTAATCATTCTACCAAAAAGACACTTGAACACACATGTTTATTAGTCGCACTATTCACGCTAGCAAAAACATGGAAACAACCCTAGTGCCCATTGAAACTGGACTGAATAAAGAAAATGTGATACATATATATGATGAAATATCATGCAGCCATAAGACACAACAAAATCATGGACTTCACAACAAATTGGATGGAGTTGGAGACCATCTTATTTAGTAATTTATCACAGAAACAAAGAACTGAATACTGCATGTTCTCACTCGTAAGTGGGACATGAGCATTAGCCACACTAGCACAAAGGAGAAATCAGCAATCACTGGGCATTACCAAGGAAGAGAGGGAGGGGGCACATGTAACAACACAAAAATTACCTGGTCCCAACCAGGGGAAGTCAGGGCCAGTTGAAGGTCCAAACTTCACCAACATGTAGCCTACTTGTGTAGTTTATCCTTACTTGTACCCCACATCTCTATAAAAAAAAAATTTAATAATAATTTTTAAAAGGTCCCCAAAAGGAAACTTGGAGTTAAGAGCTCATTTCAGTGAATAGTTTACCAACAAATAGTTAAGTACATGAAAGGAAGGTGGATTGCAGAGGACAAAGAGAAGATTAGGCTTTTATAGCAAAAGTTTCGGCTCAGGTTCCCAATCTGGTTATTTATGCAAATGAAAGAGTGAAACTTGCTTAGTTCTGATTGGTTAATACAACTGAGCTCTAATTGGTTGCCACATCTAATCTCTGATTGGCCAGGGCAGAAGAACTCTGATTAGTTGGTTTCCAAACCCAAACTGATGTCTCTGTCAGATGTTCCCTTCTGTTACCTTCAAACTGAAGGTAAAGGGATTTGGGGATTAGGAGTTTCTGGCCGCAGTGTATCCTGACACCAATGATAGGAAATGGTTTGGCTTAATTGTAGAAAAGGAGGTCCCATTTTACTTTTACCACATCTTTCTGAGAACATAGAATATGTGACCATTCCATCACTAGCTAGGGCTGCCTAGTTCTGTTTTAAATTTCAGCACCTCAGTTAGCCATAGGAAGTTCATTTTTTCTGTCAACCAGGGGCATACTTTAACAATGAACAGCATGATACCAGACAAGGAATGACATTTAAAAAACTTCTTCAAAATAATAAAAAAGACAACTATAGGAAAATGGTAAAAATTAGGTAAATATCAGAACAATATATAAATATAGATAAAGAACAAACATAGGAAAATATGCTGTGTCTCACTATTAAGGCCACAGAAATTAATATTAATACTTACAATGATTGTTATCACCAAGTTTAGGCAAAAAAATGAGGAAATAAACTATTGTTGTGGAAATCAAACTGCATCCTTGAACCTAGTGTAGCTGCTTCATGGTGTGCAACAGAGACTAATGGGAGCAGCTATACAGAATAGTATGTTTCAGGACATTATTATTACAATATTTGTAAAAGTAAAAAAAAAAAAACAAACCAGAAATTAACTAATGATCATTAATATTTGTAAAATTAATGTGCACATATTTTCTGGTATATTATACAGCCATCAGGAGAATTGGATCTATATAAAAGTATGTAAAGATTTAAAAAACATATTAGGAGAAAAAAGAAAATTGTAGAACAATAAGAACAAGATAAATACGTCAAGCACACATAGTGATATTGCATTATGTATTTTGTGTGTAAGCATGTTTATGAATGAGTAGAAAACGATGAAAAAAATAATATTTATACAGTGATAGTTCTAATCTACATTGCCCAGAGATTGGCTTTTAAAATTAAGTTATATGTATTTGGTAATCCTGATCATCTCTGTGGCAGAGAATGGAGAAGGAGGAATGGTCATGCAGGAATGTAACTTTGTCTTTGGTGTTTAAATGTATTATAACAATAATGTATTTGTGAATTATTACTGTGATCAAAATAATACACCTTAAGCAGCAACAAAAACTATGACAAAACCTGTGGTCACAATCTGTGGATTATGGGAATCTTGTCCTGACTGACATCCTCAGAAATTGTGTATAGGTGTGTGTTTGTGTTGTGTGTATGGGTGCACATGTGTAGATATGTGACTGGATATTAAAATGGGACTCTTCTGACTCCAACCTCACTGAACTTATTCTAATTTTAGAATAAAATAATTTGTTTTCCTCCATTTCAGAATAGAGAGACCACTGTGTAGGATTTAAGAAGGAGAAAGCTATTGAACCCATCTCAAGAGCACAAATAAGCTGAGATGAAGAAGTTTAGAAAATTTCTTTAGAGAAAGTTGCTAGTATTCTTTGTCACTTACTCACCCTGCCTCTGTCAAAGAGGGGATGAAGGCACTGTTGACTCACTTCAAATCAAATGATAGAAGCTGCATGCTAGGGGTTATTCAGAGAGCTTAACACATGTCCCCTAGACGTGTGTGTGTGTGTGTGTGTGTGTGTGTGTGTGTGTGTGTGTGTGTGTGTGCGCGCACGCGCGCACTTTGTGTACATGTAAAAGGGACTGATGAATGGCGCAACCTTCAGAAAGTAAGGGCATGAGATAGTGACTACTGATCCAAGGCTGCAGAGCAGATGAAAGTCCACACAGCACCGGGAGACTGTGATACCTCCCACAGCAGCAGGGAAAAGATGCGCAGTTGGAGACTTGCAGGTCTCTTGTGAACCAGGTATGAATAATCAGGAGAGATCTAGTTTATAGCCTTTTAAAATCGTGCACAAGAGAACTATCTGGAGAGACTACATGACCCCAAATGAAGGAGCAGATTCCATGTTGCCCAGCAGCTGAGGGAGGTACTATGAAGATGGAAACAGTAGACACAGAACTCTCATGACATGGAAGAGACTGGTGGATGTACACAGTGGGGTACTGGATAGGATCCAGCATTGAACATCCACCCAGCCCAGAGAGCATCAATTGCAGATCACAAGAATTCCAGACAAAACAGACATTCCCTGCCTCTTACAACATCTCTGTCTCCCTGACCACTGGCCTTGGAAGGATCAGAGGCCATGGATAGCAAGAGAGGTGAGAGGAGGAGGTGCCAGAAAAGGGGAACGAGAAGCCAAACCAAAGGACTCCTTTTCACCTCAGGCTGAAGCTGGTAAAGGGAAGATGCTTTACTTTTAAAGTTTGGTGTTTTGTATTTTTGTTGGACTGGGTCTATTAATTACAACATGAGATTATTCAGAGACTGAGCATAAACAACAAACTTTTTACTATCTGAAAATGATCAGAGAAATTACGGGGCCAAGAAAATGTAAAGGAATTAAATAGTGAGGAAGTAGTTTCTGGTGAAATTAAATAATTTTCTATGGAGTACTACTTCTCTGTGGAACACTACTTCTATTAATATCAAAGAAAATATATCTGATCTTTTGATGGTGTTGTAATAGAAATGCTATATAATGTTTGTGCAAGTCACCACTAAAATTGGTAAGCAAGCAACTGACAGATGATCTGTCTCATTTACATTATTCAAAACCATAAATATTAGACTATGGACTCCTCCAGTCTGCACTGGAATTCAAAAACAATTTCAAAATTGAACGTAAGTTCAAGCCAATATTCATTGGTAAAATAAAGTGGTTCTGGTAACTCTGAGAAGAGACTTGGTAAAATAAAGTAACTGAATAGTCTGCTGTAAAAATAATTTGATTATCATTGCTGTCTTAGGGCAATTAGTTCAGTGGAAAAAAATGATGTCAATCACAAGAACTGACACCATAGCTTTTAGTGTAACATTTTTTTTATCACAGTTTATACCCACACAGACTCTTCTGCTTTTCCAGTGCCTAAGAGTTCACTGACCATTTGTTTGTTTGTTCATTGATTAAGCAAGCATTTGTTGAATCAATGAATGGGATGTTCTGCTTCTACAGTGCTTTCTCCTGTGTGACAGAGGGACTCATTAAATTGCCCCTACCCTGTACTTGTTATAACAGAAGTATTTACCAGTTTTTCTGTTCACCAGTGGTAATGGTTATGCTGGTATTGACAAGAGCAGTGGAAGCAGGCAGTTGAGGGGGTTGGCAGGAAAAAGCTACTATAGGACAAAGGATGTAACCACAGACAGCACACCTCATGAGTGTTACATCCCAGGAGAGGCACACTGTGAAAAGAAATAAGTAAGAATGGCATTTAAGCTGGGCTCGGTAGCTCAGCCTGTAATCCTGTGCCTTGGGAGGCTGAGGTGAGTGGATTGCCTGAGCCCGCGGGTTTGAGACCCGCCTGGGCAACTTGGTGAGACCTCATCTCTACAATAAATCAAAAAATTAGTCGGGTGTGGTAGTGCGCACCTGTAGTTCCAGCTACTTGGAAGGCTGAGGCAGAAGGATCGCTGGAGCCCAGCAGGTCGAGGCTGTGGTGGCCGGGAGCGGCCACTGCACTCCAGTCTGGGTGACAGAGTGAGACTCCAACTCAGAAAAAAAAATAAATAAATAAAAAAGAATGGCATTTATTCTGAAGAATAAAAAAAAAGAGTAGCAGTGACAGCGACTAAGTCACTGGCTCCTGAAGAGAAGAACAACTTAGTCTTGTTGTACAAAAGATTACATTTAAGCTAAAATTGGAACTATGAGAAAGAGGCAGTTCTGGGCAAGAGCAATTCGGACAAAGGAATCAACAAGTTTGTTATGTTTTTTGAGGTAGGAACTAGTGCAACACGGAAGTGCAGAGTGAGTAAGGAGGTTAATGGTAGATGGAATGGAAAGGGTGGGCAGGGACCAGACCATTTGGAATCCTATAGACCTGATAAGGCGACTGCATTTCCTTTGACGTCTTTGTGGTGCATAGCCTATAAGGGGCAAGATGGGGAATCAAGAGATTTGAGAATAAGCTGTTGTCCTCACCTGCACAAGTGTTGACCATGGCTTGGTTATGTTGGCCATGATGAAAAAGATCATATTGGGTACTTATTTTGGAGATAAGCCACTAAGACTTGCTAATGAGATGGCTATGGGAAGGAGGGGAAGGGGAGAATACTCAAAAACTTCTAAACTTATGGCTTGAGCAAATGAATGAATGGTGTTACACTCACTGGAGTTGGGGAAGTGAACGGGGAGAGGAGGTGATTCCAGAGGAAAGCAAGGGTTTGGTTTTGGACACAGGGGAGATGCCTGTTGGACTCAGAAGGGAAGATTTCCAAGTAGAATTTTTGTCTATGAGTCTGTAGCTGGGAACAGAGGGCTTTGGTAGAAATGTAAATTTGAAAGTCATCAACCTTACTATTTTTCCTGAGAACAGGTAAAAGAGGAAGAACTAGCAAAGAAACTGGAGTGTTTGGTATAACAGTTTTTCTTGCCAAGGCTGTCTGTGTCTGTTCCCTTTGGATTAACATAGATCTTGCCCCTCTGCTATTCCCCAGTTCACTGTAAAATGAGAATTTTCCTTAAGATGCTGTACTGAGTTATTAATAGTTCAAATGTCATCTCTATCTGACCACAGCACTGACTATCTCTTCCCTCTAACAAACAGCTTATGGTTTTTATTCACAGCTCCCAGATAATGTCCACTGTCCTAAGCTCTTCACCCATTAACTAGTTCCTAAAGCCATGTGGGATTTTATTAGTTTTGCTTCTCTGCATGTATTAATTCATTGGAAGAGTTTGGTATTTTTTGATTCATTTAATACTTTAGACCTGATGAAAATCTTTTTCTGTGAGAATTCAACATTTTTACTTATTATTTCACCATTAATTTAGCCAGTGTTTTATAAAAAATTATATATCCCACAAAAAAGCCCAACATATGATTCCTAGTCTGAAGATCATCTAGTTTCAATATTTGAGTGACACTAGTCCTCAAAAATATAGTTTTAAATTGCTGACTCACTTCTTGATGGTTCAAATAATTTTCTCTCTCTCTCTCTCTCTCTTGCTCACTCTTGCTCTCACTCTCTGTCGCTCTTATTCTCACAGTCTCCCTCTCTAGCTCTGTCTAGCTATGCTTTTGGAGAATTTTATTCCATGGAGAGGCAACACCTCTCATTTTTCAGAATTATCTCAGGAAAGAGGCATTCTCTTGTCCACTCCTATTAGCTCTATCCCCAAACAGCAAATCAAGCCATTCTCCAAGGAGAAAAAAAACCCCACTTCCATCATCCCCAAAGCAGAATATTAAGGACAAAAATTTGAAAGCTAACCTGAGAGGGGTAGAGTGCAGGATCCTCATTCCTTTCAAATAAATATTTCTCAGCTTTTGTGATTGTCTAATCCCCGGGAGGTAAATGATTACCCCAAACCTTTAGCCCTGATGTTACCAATGAGAAAATTTTATTGGCTCAGTGGTTTAATTTTTAACTTTACTTTTATTGTTCAGTTGATAAGCAGATCAAGCTATTACATCTTCCTCATGCTTCAAGGCCCGCTTGAGGTCATGTACATCTCCCCTCACTCTCTGGTCAGAATCAATGCTTCTTTTTCTAACCACCTTGATACTTCACATGCCTTTTTTCCAGCCCTGCCACCTTCACATTCTGAGCTCTCTTAAAGTTATAGTCTTCATGGGAATATGACTAGAGCTTGTCCTTTTGTGTCCATTTTCATCATTCCCCTGTTTAATATAACTGAGATTTCCACAAAGGACTTAATACATTTTAATTAACTTGCGTGATTCTTATGGTTTTCTGATGTCCCAAAGGCCACTGAGTTTTCTGTGAAAATAAACACTCTGTAATTCTGTTCCCTTTTGTAGCAAAACATTTTAGAGTGTTCAAACATACATTAATTCTATTTCCTTGCTGATTCAATTTTCTTGTGAATCCAGAAACAAGATCATTCTTTGCACAGCCATCACCAGCCTCTGTGCTGGTAAATTCAGTGGTCTTATCTACTAATGCTTGAGAGAGTTTATCACTCTCTCATTCCTCATTCCTTCCTGATGCTTTGTTTCACTTAGTTGTTACACACCATTCAGACCTAATTTTTCTTGTGCATTATTGGTGGTTCCTTCCCAATATGTTTTCATCTTTTCTCTGATTTCTCATGTTCGTTTGCCTAGGACTCTGTCCTTGAACTTCTTTCCTGTCTAAACTCACTTTCAGGGAGACCCAAGCCAGTCCCCTTTCCTCACATGTCCCCTTTTGACTTCTCTGAACTTTGAATTTCAGTTCCCTTCATCTTTCCTTGAGTATCTATTGGGTGTCTCATTGTTAACATGGCTACAACCAAAACTCTCAAATCGACCCCCAACCCCACTCTGTCCCAGGCTCCCCCATGTTTGTTAATGGCATCACCATTTCCCATATTAGTCTTATCAAATACAACTTTGATTCGATGTTTTCCCTCAACATTTATTGCATCAGCATGTTCTGTCAGTTCTAACTTCAAAGATTTTCCACAAATTTTTAATTTAATCAGTTCCTATCACAATCTATCACTGAGATAAATAAAACGATTGCTTACATGACTCCACTGTTCTCTCTCTCTCTGTCTCACTGAGTCCAGTTCCATGTAGTAGGCAGTTTGTATGAAATTTAAATATGATCATGTTACATAGTGGATTAAAAATCTTCTAAAGCCATCCCAATGAAATTAGAATAAAATAGAACAAATTCAGTTTCTTTAAAATGCTCTAAGGCCTTATAACTCTTGGGCCATGCCAAACTTATTGGCTTCTGTCCCTGCTGCTTTCAGCTTACCCTCTAAATCTCTACCAGTTCTGCCTTCTCTAAAAAGCTCATTTCCACTTCAATGCCTTTATACTTGCAGTTTCTCCTGCCAGTGATATACAACTCCTTATGTTGATTGCAAGTGTTTCATTGATGTTTAGAAAAGTAAAATACGGACAGGTGTGGTGGCCCATGCTTATAATCCCAGCCCTTTGGGAGGGCGAGGTGAGATGATTGCTTGAACATATGGATTCGAGACCAGCCCGGGCAACTTGGCGAGACTCATCTCTACAATAAATAAAAAAATTAGCTGGGTGTGGTGGCGTGTGCTTGTGGCTTCATCTCCTTGGAAGGCTGAGGTGAAAGGATCACCTGAGCCCAGCAAGTCGAGGCTGAGTGGCCCTGAGCATGCCACTGCACTCCAGCCTGGGCGACAGAGTGAGACTCCAACTAAAAAAAATTAAAAGATAAATTAAATAAATACAATAAATAAAAAACGTATTTTCCAAAAGTCTTCTAATATGGCACCTGACTCTGTGTAGGCCAAGGCTAACGTGTATTTGCATCTTAGCTTTTAACAAAAAAGTTTAAAAAGTTAAAGATATTAGTAGATAAAGCTTATAGACTAAGGATATAAAGAAACAAAGTGTTTTTGCACAGCTGTAGAAAGTATGTTTTAAGCTAAGTGCTATTACAAAGAAACGTTAAAAAAATTTAAGTGTATAAAGTTTAAAAGTCACAGTAAGATAATTAATTTATTATTGAATAAATTAAGATATGTTAATTTATTATTTATCATATAAAAATACTATATATATAATGTAGTCTAAATGTACAGTGTTTATAAAATTTATAGTAGAACACAGCAATGTCCTAGGTTTTCACATTCATTTAACACCCACTCAGTTACTCAGAGAGGAGTTTTCAGTCTCGCAAGCTCCATTGTTAAATGCCCTAGAAGAATGTGCCGTTTAAAAAAAAATTATATATATATAATATGCATATATATATATTTATTTATTTTTTGAGATGAAGTCTCACTCTTGTTGCTCAGGCTAGAGTGCAGTGGCACCCTCACGGCCACCACAGCCTCAACCTGCTGGGCTTAGGTGATCCTTCCACCTCAGCCTTCCAAGTAGCTGGAACAACAGGTGCACGCCACTACGCCTGGCTAAAAAATATTTTTGCTGTACCTTTTTAATGTTTAGATACCTAACCACATACCATTGTGTTAAAATTAACCAAAGTATTCAGTTCAGTAACATGCTTTAAAGATTTGTAGCATAGGAGCAATAGACTATGTATGCCATATAGCTCAGGTATAGCTAGTAGGCGACACCATTGAGGTCTGTGCAAGTACACTCTGTGTTGTTCACATAACAATAAAATTGCCTGATAATGCATTTTTCAGAACATATTCCTGTCATTAAGCATCACATGATTGTATTATAGCACATATAGAGCAAAAGCTCTTTGGGAAGAGGAAGCAGTAGAAGAATTTTGGTATTGTTATGTGGCAGGCACTATCAATTGGCTAAGACAACCACATTTCCAAATTTCTGTGCCCTAGCTTGTATATACAGCAACTATGGAAATAAAAAGTTTATTTTTGTGGCTTCCTTGAAACAAATGGGGCATATACATTTCTGGCCATTGATGCGGATAAAACAGCATGCTTATGCCTCATCTTTTTCCCCCCTCCTCTCTCTTAACTGTAGATGTCAGGTCTAGAGTTATAGCAGGTATCTGATCATCATGAGACAGCAAGAATGAAGATGAAAGTCAATAAACTGATGATGGCTGTATCAGTCAGGATAAGCTAAGTTTCACTAAGATAACAAATAACCCCCAAATCTTAGTTGTTTGCAATGACAAAGTTTCATATGTTGTTCACAGTTCACATTCATTGTGTTCTGGCTACAGCTCCTTACCATGTTACCTTCACTCCAGGATCCAGTTTGAAGAACTGAACTTTATCTGGAACGTGGATAGTCTCATGGCAGAAGTAAAAGAGAAATCCTTGTCATTGGGGTGCTGGCTCTTAAAGGTTTTGCCTGGGTGTTACCTCCACTCAAATTTCACTGGGTAGAGTAAGTCATATGACCAAACCTGATAAAATCAAGATAGAGAAATAAGAATACCTTCCAAGGTAGAATCAGGGATTATTTTTGAAGAGTAATACAGGTTATCACTTTCCAAACTTAAATATTTCATTAACAATCCTTTCTGCCCACAAAATATACTTACTCCCTTTCTATGAAAAGCCAACTCAAAAGTCTCATTTAGTTACAATATTAGGCCTGATATTCATAATTTTATATTATTTGATTAGTCTGAATATGACTTCTCTTGCTCCAGAAGCTCATGAACTAACAATACAAGGTGTCTGCTTCCCCACATACCCAGGCACACCCAGTGTGTCTTTTAGAACACAGTCAGGATAATTGCAGCCAGAGACAACATGTTGCAATTTGTAGTTCAAACCATTTTGAAATCACGTGAGTAGCTATTTTAAGGTCTTCCTACTCTGGAGTGGAGAATAATCCCTCATTGTTCTGTGGTTATGCACCCCATGGGTAGTTCCCCAGAATATCATTTTTTCATGACCCTTGACTCCACCCTGTAGGTTATTCTTTCTTTTCCACTACCCTCTTTGGCCATATTTGAATAGTTCTTGAAGACTGAGCAGATTTCTCAGTCCACAGCTGACAATAAAATAATAAGAGAATTCCTAGGTGACATTTTAACCATTGATCAGTCACAGCCTTCCTTATTCAGGTTGGTAGCTCTTTGGTACTATGTCGCTTGAAATCTTACCTAGTTTCTCACATATGTGTCTACCTGTACCAACAGTCACATCAACAGTTCTTTTTGAGATTTGATTGTTTTTCTTTTTCTGATTTGGGGTACTTTGAATCTATCAGGCTTCAATTGAAAAACCATTCTCTTTCTTTCATTATTTTGACAACTAAATAATGAAACTAAATTTGCAGAATATTATTTTAGTTCATTCAGTGATATTTAACATTTGGTAACATTTGGCAGATGGTCAACATCTTGACTTGATAATTGTGCAAAGCTGAGAAAGGACTTTCTTAACTTAAATTATTTCAGTTGTATTTTTAACTGTCTGAAGTTGAGAAGAAGTAGTGACTTTTGACTTAATGAGTCTAGAATTTTAAATTTTCTTTCATTTATTTTATTCCTATTTTCTTTTTTTTGAGTTGGAGTCTCACTCTGTCACCCAGACTGGAGTGCAGTGGCCGCTCCCGGCCACCGCAGTCTCGACCTGCTGGGCTCCGGCGATCCTTCTGCCTCAGCCTTCCGAGTAGCCGGAACTACAGGCATGCGTTACCATGCCCGGCTGATTTTTTGATTTTTATTGTAGAGATGAGGTCTCGCTGCCCAGGCGGGTTTCGAACACGCGGGCTCAGGCAATCCACTCACCTCAGCCTCCCAAAGGCGCGGGATTACAGGCTGAGCCACCGAGCCCGGTTTCATTCCTATTTTCAAACGAGCTAATTAGTTTTTGAGATCATGTCTTTTTTTTTTTTTTTGGTAGTACTTTGTAAAACATTTTCAATAGTGAATCACACAATCTGCATTAATTATGCCAA